ATAAAAGAAAATCCAAAAATGAATAGAAGTGCAATTTGGAACCAATACGCAATCCCAACCTAAATAGATACTCAACTCCCTTTCTAGCTCTCTGTGAAAATCGATCGCGACCCAAAATTAGGTAAAAGCTATTAAGACCCTCTTTCGCTACTTTTTAGTGGTGCAGAGTAGGCAGTGATCACCCGCTCCTCACGCTCAAGCCTACGAACCAACTCCAAGTGCCTAGCAATCTCAACCACTTGGTCAAACCTAATATCTATCTCGGCTTCTCAGGCCAAACTGAAGTGTAATCCATAGTTGAGGCCATAAATGAAACTCCTGATACTCTCTCTATTTATCTATCTAACTATCTCCCTCTCTCCCTCTCCTTCTCTCTCTCTCTCTCTCTGTGTAGAAACCAACCATACTTTATGATGATCCAGATTTGCAAACCTCATCTCATACTGAGTTACTGTCATACCCTCCTGGTGTAGCTACTCAAACTACCTACACAACTCATCTCTACGAGTTTATGGAACAAACTTCTCTAAAAAGAGAATTGAGAACTCATGCCACATAAGTGGTGCAGCGTCTGCTAGACTGCTCAACTCATAGGCCCCCCACCATTTGTAGGTTGCCCCTGTCAGTTGAAGAGTAGTGAATGCAACCCCACTCTCCAAGATACCCGTTGTGCAAAGGATCCGATGGCCCTTATCTATAAAATCTTAAGCATCCTCTGACTCTGCCCCACTGAACTATGGAGGCTTAAGCCTCCCAAACCTCTCTAGTCTCTTCTGCTCCTCATCATTCATAGGTGCCCAACCTGGGCCCGAGTAGTAGCAACCGGCTAGGCTTGTAGTACCCCCGTATCTAGAGTCCTTGAGCTACCTACTCTGGAGTACGAGCGGCGGGAGTTTGGGAACCTCCCCCAGCCTATGAAGTGGCTGGTGCGCTGGAACTGAGAATGCCTGAGCCAGGCTTGTGCACACAGTCAAAATCTGGGCTAAGGCCTCTTGAAGGCCTGCAATCACAATGGGCAGAGTTGGTGCCTGTGTTGGTCCCACGGCTCAACAATATCTGGTACTTGCTCCTCAGCTAGATCAACTGGTGTCTCCATATATGTTGCTCTAGTTGTAGTATGAGCCACACCCCCGCCTCTATCGCGGCGTCGGCCTCTACCGGCCCTAGCTGGTGGTACTGGTGGCCGTCTCCCTGATCCGATCATACATGTCTTCGCTTTATGTGAGAGAATAGAAGAGTAGAAGTTTAGATTCTGGAATTAACAATTATGCATGACAAGAATACAAAAAAGTGAAGTTTACCAACAGTTCGGTAGCCTCTCGAAGATAAGACAAACGTCTCCGTACCAATCCGCAAGACTCTACTAAACCAGTTCATGACACGTGAGACCTAAATAACCTGGCTCTGATACCCACTTGTCACGATCCAAAATCTCAACCTGTGGTGATGACGCCTAACACACTTGCTAGGCAAGCCGACAATTCACATAACGGCTAAATATTTGAATAGAACATGTTTTAATAAGCTCAACAACGGAAAATCTTATAAATATCTGATACAAATAACTGAAATGCTACTACAACCACCCCGAAATCTGGTGTCAACTCGCATGAGCCTTCTGATGCGTTTCTTTTCTCTTTACTTTGTAAATCTTTTGTTGGATAATTATCTTTTATATTTGATTATTTATTTTTTATTTTCTGGAGGAAAATTGGGTGAGGTATTAAAGAAATTCACAAGTTTGGTGTTGTCATCGACTCCTTGCTTGATGGTGGAGTTTTGATGGGAAACGACAACAATGTCCGCCAAGTTTGGTCTGCACGACTACTCTTATGAAGTTTTGTTTATAACCTTAAACTTTTTTAGCTATTTTTATTAGTTTTACACTTTGATACACTCATATTTTCCTTCTTGTAAAACTTGTAGAGACTAGTAAAAAGGTACCTAGTCAAATAAGAAACCTAAAGATCGCAGAAAACTTGTTAAACGTGTAATCACAACGCAGATGCCAATCCAGCTACAGGGAATATTCCAACTGGAGCGGATCCGTAGTTGGAGTTGTTCAAATTTACATACTAAGAGATTCAGGATTTGGGGTATAATCTCTTTTTTTTATAAGATAAGGTGAAGAATTACATCAAAATTATGGAGATACAGATTACTGAAGAAGCGCCTTAATATAAGTTGGGCTCTTTGTGTCTTTTGAATTTGTGAATGATTCTTTTTTAATCGCTGAATTTATATTTTCATGACTTTCATGAAATCGCAAGGTGAATGCGAGCCATCCATATTTTGGGAGTCTCTAAAGCTAAGTTGATTTCTCGATTTTGGACAAATTGATGCATCTTCATGAGAATGAGTTAAAAATAAGTTTTTTCTTTTGCGTAGTTATAACTGAAACTCACAAGTTATAGGAATAAATAAGATACCAATAACTATATTTCTATGCCACATATCCAAATATACACATAAGTGATAGAAGTCAGCTGTTAAACTATTATTAAGGTTTTTACGACCCACTGAAATATTCATTGTTGTTCCACTACGGTCAAAATGGTTGCCATTATGGCATTCAATAATTGAGCCTTCAGCTGCCTCTTATTAGACATAAATATGTTGTGAACACGGACAGTTTTCAAGGGTAATTAATATGACTTCAATTGATGGATTCCTTGACATTGAAGTTGAAGTTATATAAAAAGGCAAACAAAAAAGAGACATTATTTTCTGTCATGAATACTATTATTAGCAACTCCAAATAAGAGATAATGAAAATATAATTGTACATTCAGGAATACTATTCCAACAATATGTAGCAGGTGAATGTATAAAAGCTGAAACTCAAAGATTAGATTTTGCTTTGTTCAATCAAAATTTATTTAGAATAAATATACTAACAGGATTTCTATATATTTTACGATGTGGTGAGAGAGAAGGTTCACAGATAGGTAAGAACATAATACCTCCACTTAGATTGACATGGAGCACAAGAGTTATGCATCATCGGTATATGAATGAATATCGTATTAGTGCAGCATTTTAGAAAATCCGACATATTTTTGACTATGTCATGCAATTCTTCTTGCCTGACATTCAAAAAAATCTACTGTCAACAGATGAAGTTCAAAATAGACCTAATTTAGTTAGTCGAATATTTCGTACAAAATTAGAAGAGCTAAAAATGACATACTAAAAAGAAATATATTTGGTAAAGTTAATGCATTTATGAATATTGTAGAATTTAATAAAATGAGGGGTTCTGCATGTTCATTTCCTTATTATATTTGATGAAAAGTACAAATTGCTAACTCCCGAGGCACGATCAATTTGTTTGGGCTGAATTGCCAAATCCTAAAACAAATTCCCATTTGTTTAAGTTTGTTATACAATACATGCTGCATGGTCCTTGTCGTCAACTAAATCCAAAAAGTCCATGCATGAAAAAGAAGAGAGGTCATTGTAAGTTCAAGTATCCAAGAGAGTCTGTTGAACAGACAATTAAAGGGAAAAATTCATACCCCGTCTATAGAAGACGAAATACAAGAAAGTATGTAAAAATTAGAGGATAATTTTTTGATAATTCATGGGTTGTCCCCTACAATTCATTTTTACTCTATAAATTTAACTGCGAGATGAATATGGAGATTTGCTCTAATATTAAAGTTATTAAGTATATTTACAAATATATTTGCAAAAGACATGATAAAATTATATTTCATATACATCATAATAATACAAATACAGAAATAGATGAATTGAAGGAATACCAATCTGTTGGCGATAACACCATTTGAGGCTGGGTGGCATATATTTGCCATCCCTATCAATGAAATGACTCCAATTATATAGCATCAAAACCTAATATGCGAACCATAGAATATAAAAAAGACTTGATATAAACCAGTGTTTTAGAAAGAATGGGCGAGAGCCAAGACATTTTTCTTACATGGGACGAGGCATAAGCCTCGAGGCGCTGGGTGTAAGCCCCAAGGATCGTCAAGTTTTAATATATTATATTATTAATTGATATAATTAAAATAAATATTTAAAAAAACTGCAAAAAATGCTAAAGTTATATATATATATATATATATATATATATATATATATATATATATATATATATATATATATATATATATAAGTGAAAATGTATATAGAACTTATTGACTAAAAAAACTAATTGAAGTGCTTTATATGATAAAAACTAATCAGACTTTGAAAAACAAATGGAGTAAAAATTATAAACTAACTTGAAAGAGCAAAAAAAATTGAAAAGAAAGAAAAGTGAATACAATCAAAAGCGTCGAACCAAAGTAGATGAGGAAGGTTTTTTTTTGCTTTGTAGTTTGTAAAATGATCATTTTCCACTTTACTCGGTAGAAGACGAAAAGTAACATAAATTTAGGGTTAAGAATAAAAAAAATCTTTTGACTTTTAAGTTTCTTAATATTTTAGAATGTAATAACAAGCTGATTTTGTATTTTTTTACTATTAAACTAAGGACTTGTTCAGGAATTTTAACTTTAATTTATAGAGGTTTTCTGGGCTTATGCCCCAAAGCAAAAACTCGCCCAACTCCTAGGTGCACACCCAAGAAAATGGGGCTTATACCTCTCGATACCTTCGCCATCTCAAATTGCAACGCACTTTTACTACGCCTCGCTGGAGCTCGCCCCATAAACCCTTTTTAAAACACTGAATATAACTAGTAGACTTAATATCACTATATATAAATTAAATCCGTAAATATTTCATGGACAGATAATACAATACGTAATGGTGATGACTAAATAGTACTCTTAGTAGCACCCTTTGTTTCTTTGATAAATAAAATATTTGCACATTGAATAATGTAATTATATATATGGTGCTTCGTTAACTTGTAGGAGATGCTAAAAACAGCAGCTAATTAAGATGAATTAAGAGATAACTACCAATATCTAAACTTCTAAGATAGTTGAAGATTTGTTGAAGAGCGTTCTACTAATCCACCTTCCACCAACTACACAAAATTAAACCCAATTCCACAAACCCACTATATATTCGACTACGCTCATGACCACAATAAAATGCCCATAGACAATCATGGCTCTAGCCGCCATTGTTAATAGTACTCAAGATCAACTCAAAGAAGAATACAAAATTCTGGTACATATGGTTGAAGAAGAAGGAGAAGATGAAGAAGAGGAGTTTTTTGAGATAGATTTGGAGATAGTGAATAATATACCACCGCCTCATTACTGGGAAAGTTATTTTACAGCAGCAACAAGTAGTACTCTTCTGGCTAACTGTTTGTTGCCTATATCTGATGCTTCCTGCGCCATTCCTGCCGTAGCTAAAGCTTCTGGCTACTATTAAATAGTAGTAGCTTTTATTAATTACCCAAATTGTAGCTCTTTCTTTCGCTGAAACTCAGTNTATATATATATTAAAACAAAAAAGTTACCATATATAATTGCATTGTGGTTAAGCCAAGTGACAAGTTATTAAATGCAAATAGTATAATTCGCCTTTTTTACCCTCTAAAGATAGAGTTCATAGTCAATAAATAGTCATTTAATTATTTTCCTAAAAATTTGGATTTTGAAATCAACTAAAATTTATTTATTAAATACTTCCTTATTTTAACTATGTACAAGATCCTAAATATTAGGACTCTTCTTAAATCCTTCAAAGTTTCCAAGTTTTTCTTCTTAACCATGTTAAGAACCGTACGTTAGGCAATATTTTTCCAAGTCTTTGGCCATTTTATTTTGATAAAAAATAATTTAATCATATTTAGAGGGTGTTTGGCTACGCTTATAAGCTGGTCAAACTGGCTTATAAGCACTTTTTGACTTATCTACGCGTTTGGTAAAATTAAAAGTGCTTATAAGCCAAAAATAAGTCAAAAGTCATAAGTCGGTCTTCCCCAACTTATTAAATTTCAGCTTATAAGCACTTTAGGTTTGACCAAAATATTTACTATTCTATCCCTAAAATACTTCTTTTTAAAACAAAACTTTTCGTATACCCAGTTCTTCAACTGCTTATTATTAATTTCAGCACTTTTATCCAAATACGTAACTATTTATTTTTAAATCAGCTTCAGCACTTAAAAATATTTTTCAGCACCTAATGTTTATCAACTACTCTACATCAGCTAAGCCAAACGGGCTCTTAGTATCAAACTTAGATAGTTAAATATAATAAAATTCTATCTTTAGCCAAATCCCCGTGAGGCATATTTATTTTTCAAGTCTTTACCCTTTTTGTTTTATTATAAATAATATAAATTATGCTTGAACTTAAATAGTTAAATATAATAAAATTTTATCTTTGGGCAAATCCAACTTATATGTAAATAAGTTTTCTACTTTTTAGTCTATTTCTGTTACTTATCGGCTAATTTGATAACTAAAAGCAAAAAAATAGGCAAAACAAGTTTTTTAACAAATTGTTCTTTTTAATTTGGGTTTCTTCTCTCTCCATTTATTGAAATGTTACATTAACATATTGACAGATTTAATTAGAACCGTCCCAAAATATTAACTATTTGGTATAGTTGGAGCAATTGTACATCTTATTAGAGCATTAAAATCTTTATCTACATATCAGCATAAAAGTCCTTAGCAAAATATCATTCGTCAATTTTGCTCTTTATAAATAAATTTTATACTAGATAAAATAGTCATTTAATTATTTTTCTAATTTTAGGACTTTAAAATCAACTAAAATTTTATTATTAAAATTTTCCTTATGTAAAGCCCATTAATATTAGAGTTGTATTGGACTATTCCTATAAGATTCTTTATTATGCAAAACGTGAGTTAGAAAAATTACGTAGGAGTCAAGCACGCAACGAATTCTGAAAACATAAAGATTCAAAACATATGTTTTTTCTTACTATTTGTAAATCGAATTCTTGTTGGAAAAATTATAATTATTCTAAAATATTTAAAAATTAGAATGAGCAAATATTCAAAATTCGAATTAAGAAAAATCAAGTTATTTCTTTTAATGTTGAGAACAAATAATTAAGTCATTGAATTAATTAATTAGTAAACGAATCCAATACAATTATTTTACAAATTTATCTTATAAGAATGTTTTTTGTTAAATTGACAAAACACGTAAAGTACATAAATTTTATTTTTGTAAAAAGAATATCGACAGTGAAAGAAATCATAAAATATAGCAAAATTAATTATAGTAAAAATAAAGATTCAAATCGGTGAAAAAATAAATTTTAAGCAATAAGGTAAAATTGTAGAAGGCAACCAGATTATAAATAAGTTATCATTTGTTTCTTTCTTGCATTCAGTCTAACAAATGAAAACGTCTCGCTACAATTTTTATACTAAGTTTTTTCTTGTAAAATATTAGTTCAATATTACTCATTCTTTAAACTTTACATTGTCACTATCAAATTCTTAAGAGGTATAATGCCAACTTTTTTCATTCGCAAAGTTTTAAGAGACCAAAAGTTTTAAGTTTTAATTTCTGTTATTTGATAAATCTTTAAAGAATTGTAAATATTAACAATTCATAAGTTTGGACATAATTCCAGACAAAATAACAATAAGGCATCTAAATAATATTTATTCATTTGTTAAGCTAACTAAATGGGAATAATATTTATTATTTTAAAAAAAATCTTAAATTATATTTTATAACTCAAACAAATTTTCTAATAACATGTATGTAATTTTTAAAATTTGTGTATTCGTTAATATAGGTACACGCGCGGAGCGCGTACCCTAAGACTAGTATATATATATATATATATTAAAGCAAGAAAGTTACCATATATAATTGCATTGTGGTTAAGCC